CTAACGACCAGCTCGCCCGAAAAAAATGGCCACCGGGCAGCATAGGCTGCAAGGGAGCAGGGACTCCCTGGGTCTTCGGGGCTTGCGGTGCTCTTAGGGTGCAGCAGGTTTCGGGGGTTGCGGGGTTTAGGGTTTAGGGTCTGGACGTTTAGGGGTTTAGGGTTTACGGTCGAGGGTTGTGATTAGGTCTGTAGGGATTTAGGGTTTAATTATAGTAAAAGACCCCCAAAAGAGTATTTGAAATTTTTCTGGGCACCTACATTATTTGGGGCTTGCCTAGACCCTAAGCTCAGTACCCTTGCTTTTTTGCTATAGTTCCCAACCGCAGCAAGTAGTTACCACCAACAACATGTACTGCAAGCCAGGGTAGCTGGGGTTCGGGGTTTGCCTTCTAGGATAAGGCGGATCCGATTCGCCGCTGGCTTTGAGGAATTTGGGGTTGTTTAGGTTACTGTAGGGGGCCTTATTACTTCGAATAGGGTTTGGGGGTATATTATACTCCAACTATGATAGGGATCCCCCAAACTAGTATTGATAATTATTTAAGCCTCTCTAGTACGAGGCTTGGAGCCCAAGGGTTTTTTGGGGGGCGGGGTGGAAGGGCATGAGGGCTGGGTTTCAGGGTTCGGGGCTTGGGGTTCGGAGGGACCCTAGGGCTAGGAAAGGAAGCGGGTTCTGGTAGGTTAAGGTATTTCTTCATAGCTGGCTCCCCAATCTTGAGAACCCCTTTTTCCGCACAGCCGTACATGGTAGCCCCTAAAGCCCACGTCGGCAAGCCTCTAGCCGCATAAACCTTTGAACCCTAGATCACACGCACCCGTCTCAAACCCCGAAAACCCCTCACACCTTAAACCCTAAAACCTAAAAATCCCAACACCTACTACCCTAAACCTATTCACTGCCTCAACCTTGAACCCGAAAGCCTGAAAGCCCCACAGAACCCCCAAACCCTTAAACCTGAACCGTCACACGCAAAACCCGCAAAAACGCTAAATCCTCACACTCGAAACCCTAAACCCTAAAGCCCCAAACGGGCCATCGGAAGATCAATTCAAAGTGAGGCTCCCATGTTTGCCGGGCCCACTAGTACGAGGTCGGAGACGTTTTCCTAGCACAGCGCAATCTTAGGGGGTCTAGGGCCTAGGGTTTAGGGCTTACTGTAGGAGGCTTTTGTAAGGGTCTTACAAAGCTTTCAGACAGGTAGCGACCGAAGCTTGCATCCCGCATGCGAAGATGGAACTGCATGGTTGCAAAGAGCTTCAAAGGTAGACTCAGTTACGTTGATACTTGCAGAACTGACCACGAAGCTGTAGTGCTCTTCCGGCTCTTTGAAGCAGGCGCAGGGCATGGCCGGTGTCTAGTTCCAAGCGTCGAACCATAGGGACCCGAAACCCTGAACCCTAAACCTTCAACCCGAAACCCTGAACCCTAAACCCTCAACCCTAAACTCTAAACCCTACACTCTAAACCCTAAACCACCCTAAACCCTGAACCCTAAACCCTAAACCCTGACCCCTAAACCCTAGTCGTTGCTTTGAGTGTGGGGCCTTCGTTCGGGTAAAAGAAGCTCGGAAGTCCGAGATCCGGGAATGGTTCAACCTGGAAGCTGCACCCTAAGCTTAGGGTTTAGGGTTTAGGGGTTTAGGGGTTTAGGGTTTGAGGGTTTAGGGTTTAGGGTTTGGGGGTTTAGTGGGTTTAGGGTTTAGGGTTTGGGGGTTTAGGGGTTTAGGGTTTAAGGGTTAGGGGTTCAGGGTTTAGGGTTTAGGGTTTAGGGTTTTCGGGTTTAGGGTTTAGGG